GGGAAGGTCCCCAGCTGGCACCCGGGGCAGCAGCCAGTGCAGCTGCAGCCATGCCATGCTGCACCTTAACCCTCCTTCTCCTCCTGGTGGGACCATCCCAGTGGGGCCAGGGGCACTGCATGGCCACTCCGGAGCCCCCAGGCAGAGCCATGTTCCTCCACAGTCCCACAGCCTCGCTCTCCATCCCACAGAACATGTTGACCTTCCCAGAGCACGGACACAGTCTCCAGCGGCAAAAGAGGGACTGGGTCATTCCCCCCATCAACTGCCCTGAGAATGAGCGGGGGCCCTTCCCCAAGAAGCTGGTGCAGGTACGTGGCCCCAAGGGGACAGGGTGTGGGAATGGGAGGCCCTGGAGCACCAGGACCCCTTTCACCCCTCTTTTCACGCCTCACCACCAGATCAAATCCAACAAGGACAAGGAGACCAAGGTTTTCTACAGCATCACGGGGCAGGGAGCAGACACCATCCCTGTGGGCGTCTTCATCATCGAGCGGGAGACAGGGTGGCTGGAGGTGACGAAGCCTCTGGACCGGGAGGAGAAGGATAAGTACATAGTGAGTGAGTGGGGACCTGCAGCAGGGGTGGACGGTCCCGGGGGCTGCATGCAGGCTGACTGTGTTCTTGCAGCTCTACTCCCACGCCGTGTCGGCCAATGGGCAGCCTGTGGAGGACCCCATGGAGATCATCATCACCGTCACTGACCAGAACGACAACTCGCCTGTCTTCTCCCAGGCAGCTTTCCATGGCTCTGTGCGAGAGGGAGCTGAGCTAGGTGGGACCACCATCATTGCCTAGGAGGCAGCGCTGAGGGAATGTGGGGACAGGTCACCAATAACCATCTGCTCCAGGCACGCCAGTGCTGCGGGTGCTGGCCACTGATGCAGACGATGCTGTGAGCTCCAACAACGGAGTCGTGGCCTATTCCATCCTGAGCCAGGCACCAGATCAGCCCCAGCCCCACATGTTCACCATAGACAGCAACTCTGGGCTGATCTCCGTGGCTGCGACGGGACTGGTGGCAGAGGTGAGTCCCAGGCTTGGCCCCCACCCGGTGCCCACTCCCAGTTCGGATGTGATGCAGCCTCTCGCTGCAGGCGGTCCCTGAATATACGCTGGAGATCCAGGCAGCTGACATGGGGGGACATGGGCTGCAAGCCACCACCACAGCCCACATCACAGTGCAGGTAAGGCATTGAGCCCCACCACTGCCCACTCAGCGCAGACAGGGAGGGTGAGGCTGCGGTGAAGCCAGTGCCGTCTCCCAGCAGCCCTACGTGCCCAGCAACGTGCTCCAGGTGCTTTCCATGGTGGGAGGCGAGGCTGGGATGGCAGCTCCACTGCGGTTTCTCCTGGCCTGGCATCCCGTCTTCCCGCCGGGCTCTGGGCCACCAGCCCCAGGGCTGCAGTGCTGCTGGAGAGTGGGTGTCAGCGGGGCTCCTGGGCACAGCTCCCAGCGGGAAGCCGCCCGTGCCGGCTCGGCCCAGCCAGGGAGGAGCACCCGGTTCTGCGGGAGCCTCGTGCCAGGATAGCGGCATCCAGCCACGCCAGCTCTGTGGGGAGAGGCTGTGGCGCCAGGAAGGGCGGCCAGGGCTGGGGATGGCGTTTTGTGCAGTGTCACCGGCCACGGGCCCCTGGCTGAGCGGGACCGAGGATAGCCAGGTAAGCTTGCCAGGGTGCCTCTCCGTGTCGAACAGTGCCGGTGTCGGGCTGGCAGCAGGAGCTGGTCCAGCTCCAGGGAAGCTGCCTGGCCGTGCCGGCTGCTGGGACACAGCCTTGAGTTGTGGTCCCACCCCAGCCTGGGAGCTCCAGGAGGGGAAGGGGCCCAGCCCCCCCAACTGCTCTGACCTTGACCCCAGACAGTTCCAGAGAGCTGGGCAGGGTCAACGTCCACCCACACGTGATACCGTGGGCAGGGATGGGGCTGCTTCCTTGTTGGGTCCAGGCTGGCTGCTGCCGCCATTCTGTGGCCCACCGGGACAGGTAGGTGAGTAGGGAGTGCGGTGCTGCTGCAGACACGGAGCCCTGCTTCCCAGTGGGAACCAGCCAGCACCCACACCACGGTGGTTGCAGTGCCTGAGGCTGAAACCTGTGGCATGGGAAAGAGGTGGGGGCCCATATCCCGGCTGTGCAGTACAGCATGGTGTGGGGGCTGGGCTATGGCACAGCCAAGGGGGAGGCGCATGTTGCTGCCAGGACAGGTCCCAGCCCCCCTTCCCCCTCCTCTGCAGGCTGACAGCATGTCCCACATGGGGAACGGCTCCCTGACCACCCACGTACTGAACATGGTCACAGGGCTGCCGGCAGCCGGCCTTTTCATCCGCCTGGACCAGCTGGTGGAGCCCGGGCTGCAGTGGAGGGAGCTGGCACAGAGGTAGGAAAGCTGGTGACACGGGAATGGGACAGGGATGCTGCTGCCTGTCTTTGTGAGCTTGGTTGAAGGCTCCTGGCACAACTGGCTGCTGGCAGCAAGGCCAGTGCTCAGGCCAGTACGATCAGGGCAGGTTCTAGGGATACAGCAGGGCTGCCTCGGTCTGGTTTCAGGCACACGGACATGGATGGGCGCTGCCCGCCCCTCCTGGCAGCAGGACAGGCCAAGGCCGGCACCTACAAGCTGCGCTTTGAGACAGCACCATATTGGCAGGGGCTGGGGCACAACAGCTTCCACCCCTATGTGGAGGTATGGAGCATGGGGACCCTGGGGCAGGTCTGGGGGCCACAGTCAGGCTGGGGGGGTTGCACCTCCCTGGGCCCAGCTCTGGGAGGGGGATCCCCACCACTGCCTCCTTGCTCTCCTCCAGGTCGTCTTCACCATTACTGACCCGGCACAGAAGCTTCATGTCCCACTGCTGATCAGCCCCTACTCCTACACAACGTACCGGGGCAGTTAGGGGGGCACAGCCTCCCCTCAGGGATGGAGGAATGATGCCATTAAAGGCTCCAAACACCACCATTTGTCTCAAAAAAATCACCTTCTGGTGGGGGAGTGAAGGAGGGAGCCCCAGGGGCAGCCCGGTGTGGTTGGTGGGATACCCAAAGCCCTCCAGCTGTACCATGGTCCCCCTGGGGAGGAGAGGGTCCTGAAGATGTTCACTGGGGTCTGTTTAATGGCACAGAGCAAGAACAGGGCACAGCCCCACTTCCAGTGTGCCAGTGGGACCATTGGTGCTGGCCAGTGTCAGGTGGGCACTGAAACGAGTCCAGCAGGGCCCTGCCCAAGCTCCTGCCCCGGCAGGGGGAAAGCCAGCGGCTGGAAGCCCAGGTTGTCCAGGGGGATGCCGAAGGCCGTCAGCTTCGCCTCAAAGGTCTGCAGCATGTCGTTGTGTGCCTGTGAGGGAAGGGTCACCATCAGCCCCTCCGCATGAGGGCAGGGGCTCACTGCACCCCCTGGTCCTAATTCCATCCCCCATACCACAGCCATGGAATGACGGAGTTGTTTGGGTTGGAAAAGGCCTCTAAGATCAAATCCAACCATTCCCCTGACACTGCCAAGGCCACCACTAACCCACAACCCTAAGTGCCCCAACCACACAGCTTTTGAATCCCTCTAGGATTCCTTCCCAACCTCACCTTGCAGACTCGGGCCAGCTGAAGCTGCAGGTCCTGGATGGTGTCATTCTTGGAGTTGAGCACGTCCTGCGAAGGGAGACAGGGTGTGAGCCCATGCTGCCCAGCCCTGGGGACACAGTGGCCATGCTGCAAGCGGCAGCAGTGTGGCACAGCACATGGAGGAGCCACAGCACGAGCGGAGCGTCCAGCAGCACAGCCTGGCAGGCAGCCACCACCCTGCCCCCTCCAAGTGGCACTGCCAGGGACAGCCAGCTCCAGGCAGGGACAGGGACCTTTTGGATCAACAACACAGCCATCCCGGTCTGCTCTGCAGCACCTGCTCTGACAGCACCACCCTGCCACCGCGGCACCGGGGGAATTACAGGGAGCCAGGCTCCCCGAGGCAGCTGAGCAGAGGAATTCAGGGACCCCAGCAGCTGCAGGAGAGTCCGACACCATGACGCTATCCCAGGAATGTGTTTTCCTTCCACCTGCTGGGAGGTGACACATCTGCTGCCCGTCCCACAGCCCTGCTACCCATTCCCAGGGCACTCCAGAGCTTTCCTGCCACCCCCCGCAGCAGGGACCTGGATGGGGACAAGTGGGAGGGCACCGACGCGGTGGAACTGTCATCCTGTGTCTGTGCCCGAACTGCAGCCAGCGCTGCTCCCCAGCTCTGGCTGCGGCAGGCTACAGGAATGTGGGTCTCCAGGCTCTTGGCAGAGGTATTTTTAGCACGGCAGACGCCGCAGAGGCCCAGGATCCTGTCTGCACTGTCCCCTGTCGCCAGACGAGGTTCACTGGGTGCAACCCCCATGCACAGAGCCCCCAGGAGACACCAGACCCACCAGCAGTCAGCTGTGTGGCAGCATGGGGTGTTGGCAGTGCCGCAGGGCCTGGGGCCATGTTCCTCCAAACAGGCCCCATTTAGGGACAGATCAGCGCCAAACTCTGACACCCACACACTCCACTCTGCAGGTAGAGCTGAGTGCCCCGCAGCACTGCGCGTGGCCCTGGGAGCGGCGGCGTGGAGTGACGCGGCAGCTGCAGCCACACAGGAAAGCGACTGGCACGTTCCGGGGGCTGCGGGCACCCCACAGCAGGCTCTGCCCCCCAAAACCTGCCCTTGCCAGCCTCCGGTACCTTCAGCTTGTGCGAGACCAAGGACAGGGCGCTGGGGTCAAGGTTGGAGACTGCAACGACCTCGCCAAGCTCCACCTCCTTCTGCTCCAGGAGGCTGAGGAGTCCCTGCAGTTTCCGCTCCAGGAGCAGGTTCTTGAACCCTGTCTTCTGCTGCACCTCATTAATGGCTTTGGTGAACTTCTGGTAGAGCTCATCTCGCTCTGCCTGGACCTGCTCCAGGAGATAGCACAGCATGGTGTCACACCACCCTCAGGAGCTATGGGGCACAGAGGGGCCTGCAGGAGCCTGACTGGGGTCTGCTTAATGGTGTGGAGTACAAATGGGGCAGCAAACTGGTCTGGCAGCTCAGCCCAGCCATTCCCCATGGTGACTGCAGCCCACAGGGAAGGCAGGTGCTGAAGCACAGCATCCTCCCTTTGTGGTGCAGCACCTGTGTTTCTCCTTCCTCCTCCTCCTCCCCTCAAGGCAAGAGACGCCCCAACAGGCTCCCTCTGTCACTAATTCAGACCCCAGCAAGGGCCCCCCGGCAAAGGGGAGGTGGTCTCTCCTCTCCACAGCTGGCAGCAATCCCTGGCTCACAGCTAGTTAATAAGTGTCCTAATTAGGACACAGCCTCTCCACCAAAGCCTATTTCTGAACGCTCTGAATCTGGTGCTGTCTTAATGATGGATTGTTAACGAGGCCTCGGATCAATGTTCATATTCCTGGGGATTTCTACGAATTGCAAATGAGCTCTCTCCTGCCTTAACAGATTTATCTGGGTTAGTGGGGAGGAGAACTCTCTGCAGGGCTCATCCTGAGCCACCCCGCCACAACGAGCAGCGGAGCAACCCTGGAACGCTGTCAGGAGAGGCCCGTGGCAATGCCCCCCCCAGCTCTGCCCCATGCAGGCCCAGCAGCCCAGGGGGCCCGCCAGAGCGTGCATGATTGCTTAGCAAAGTACAAGGCCAGGCCTGTCTGCTGACCGTGGGAGAGGCTGGAGCTGGGAGCACTTTGTTGGGAGCAGCCGTTATTGCCCGGCTCGGGATTAGCTTTGGAAAGCCCTTGGCTAAGCACAGGCTCTGCTAAGCCCCTACGCCCTGTCCTCTGTAGAGGGTTTGGAGAGGGTTTGGAGAGGGAACGAAACATCCAGCCCTGCCTGCAGCTCTCACCTTACTGAACCGCTGCTCCAGCACCTCGTGTTCCCACTGAAGGTCCTTCAGTTCCTTCTGGGTGACTTTCAGACGGGCTTTGGAGTTCTGTGAGTGGGAAGGGAGCGTAAAGGAGCGCATGATTGTCTGGGAACTGTTGGGGATGTGTTCTGGGAAGGGAGGAGAGTGAGCAGCAGAGAAAACCAGGCAGCACCCACACCAACCTCTCTGCAGTGAGGGCTACTCTAATCTCTCTCTGGATCCCCATCTGAGATCCCACAAACACTCAGCTAAGCGGAATGGGACTCACTTTGCCCAGCAATCCCAGCACCCTGAGTGGCAGAGGCCACTGCTTTCCCTCCAGGATTGAGCCCAGGAAAGGACAAGGCTGGCCACGCACCATCAGGATCTCCTTGTCCTTATCATAACGAGCCAACTTCTTCTGCAGCTCAGCCACCTGCTCCTGGGCCTGTTGCAGCGGCTCTGTCAGCTCCTTGTTCTGCAGCAGCACATCTGTCTTCTCCTTTTCCAAGACAATCTCCTTCTTTCTCATCTCCTCCACCTGCTCCTGTTCTTACAAACACGAGTGCTGGCTCCTGTGAGCTGCCCAGCCTCTCAGAGACCCCTCCACCCTCAGGACACCCTCCCTGATCATGTGATCAGGGTGGTGTTCAGCCCACCAGCAGTACCCACATCAACACCTGGGAACTGCCAAATCCAGGTGACACCCTTGTGGGAGTGGTACCCGGGTGGAGAGGTAGCACAGGGATAGGCAGTACCTTCAGGAGGCTGATGAGTGACATGTTTTTGGCAGTGATATCGTTGTAGTAGTTCTTGATGTCACCAAAAGCCCCCTCATGTTTCCCCAGCAACTCGCTGATCTGGTTGTTCTTCCTCTCCTCCAGCTCATGGATCTCCGTCTTCCTCCGCAGGTCCATCTCCTCACGCAGGGCCTGCATCTTCCTGTTGTACTTGGCATCCATCTCTGGGGGGCACAGGGGGGCTGGGTGAGGGGGACCTCCTGCAGACCCCATGCCCCAGCTCCTGTGCCACCACATTGACATCAAGACCCTTGTGGGGTCCAGAGAGAGCTGAGTCCAGGAATGACATCCTTGGAAAAAGGGCATGGAAAAGCCTCAAGTGGGCCTGTCACAATCTGAAATGTCCCCCAAGGGGGACACAGCAAAGACACCTCCAGCCATCCCACCCCACAGAAGGGCTGGCACTGCCACAGCACAGGGGACAGAAGGCGAGAGGAAATGGCCAGAGCTGGGGGAAAAAAAGTGACCAAAATGGGGAGGGGAGAAAAAACAGCCAGAGCTGCATGGCAAACTGGACAAATCTGGGAAGGAAACTGAACAGAACTGCCTGGGAAAAACAGCTGGAACTTGTATGGAAAACTGGCCAGAACTGAGAGGAAAAAACAGTCAGAACTAGGACAGAAAAAACTGCCAGAACTGGAGGGAACCCCCAGCCCACATGCACTCGAGGTGCTGCTCAGGAGCCCAGAGCGACCCTCCCCATCCTGCTCCGCAGGTTCTGCCTCTCCCCTGACCTTTGGCCTGTGCCTCGAAGTCGCTGCGCAGCCGGGCCATCTCCTCCTCATGTTTCTGCGAGAAATAAGCTCTATCTTAGAGGAAACAACCAAATCCTGGGTCAGCCCATCCCCAAGGATTCCCTCCTGCTCCGTGGGAAAGGATTCTGATCCCAGTGTTGATGCAAACAGTGGCTTGGAGGTTCTCCAGCTGCTCTCACAGTTCCCCACTGCAGCAGAGGGGTCATCCAGCAATCCCTCCTCCCCATTCCTGCACCAGAAACCCCACCCCACAGAGCGAGCCAGGGAGGCAGGATCCTGCCCCTGCTCCCACTCTGGAGCTGAGGTGCCTCATAGGTGGCTCCAGCCTGGCCAGGGACGTACCAGGCAGAGGTTTGTCACTGCTGCCTCGTTGGCCAACTCTTGCTCCTTCAATTTGATGTTCAAGGAGCGTTTCTCTTTCCACAGTTCCTGCTCCTGGTCCCAGTGATCCTTCTGGGCCCGCTTCAGGGACAGGATTCCCTCTGCCTTCAGCTCTGTCAGGGTCTCCTGCTGCTCGTGCAACAGGTGCTTCACCTTCTGCTTGTA